GCTGCTAGTGCTGGACTTACCAGTCTCAATTGTCTCTCCAGTGTTGTCCAAGCTGGTAGTCTGGGGTTTTGATCCTGATCTTGGAAGGCCATCAACACCCGAGCCACTCTGTGGTGTGTTGCTTACTGCGACCCTGGGGAGGCTTGCCATTCCTGTTGACTTCCCGGTGCTCAAAGTCTCGCCGGCACTGTCCTCGATGGTTGGTGGCATGGTTCTATATGTGGCGCTCCGTTTTCGTCGGTTGAGGCTCTCGGATGTTGTTGCATTCATGCCGCGTGTCTGCCTCTTGGATTGCTCGGCAGGTTTCGTACCTACGCTTCCCTGACCGGCTTGAACTTGACTTTCATCGTCCGGCTTGGGTATAACAACTGCAAAGCGCGCAGCCGTATGACCCGCTGTCTCAGGCTCCGGTAGATCTTGTGACTCCGGGACTCCCGCAGTTTCAAGCGTTTTTGCTACCAGCTCAGCGATGTTGAATCCGATGCCAGTCGTGGGTGGAGGGCTCGCTTGCTGCGAGGAAACCGAATTATGACGATTTCTAGCGTGCTCTCGGTCATGGCCTACAGCACGACTGGATCTACCGGCATTGCTACCACAACTGGTCTCAGTGCCCCCAGCAGCTGTTTGCAAAATTTCTGCGTACTTTGATTAGCAGTGTCTTGGTATATGCTGCTACCATTAACCTACCAGTGCGAGGTCCGTCTTTTGTTTCGTCTGAGGGACCAACTGGCCACTGGGGCGATGCTGCGGGATCACGGCCAGAGGTTGCATGGTTGGGGGTTCGGACGGCGGAGCTATCTGCTCCAAAGGTGGTTTCGACTCGTGCCATGGTAATCAGTTGAGATCAAAGATAGGTAAAGACAAATTGAATGCAGAGTGAGATCACGATGGGGCAGGAAGTGGCAGCTGCTGCCCTTTTATAGTTTCGTCACTCTCACTATGACACATCTGTAAGGAGCACGTAAGAGCAAGGCACTCGAGCGCCTTCCACTGAGATACTCGACTGCAGCCGTCGCAATAACCTGGTGAAGAACGCCCTGTAGCCCGCAGACGAAATTGGATGGCAGTGCGTGATGCATCGATAAGACAGAGAGGCGGAAGTAATCGTATCTGGCGCATGCAGTCTGGTGAATGACGCATCGTAGCTTGTAGGCGAGATTGAATTCGTTTGAAGGAGAAGGCCGGCAGAAGGCGCACATAGAGCCGGGTTGTGATGTATTCGGCACCCAAAGCTTGTCTTTGACTCAATCAACCTTGCCGGTAGTAGGAACACATGATCTCTTGGGGTATCCGCAGTGCCGACCAACCCAAACAACGTGAGTCACGGCGTGCAGTATTACGAGATCCGTGATGTAGCAGTCTAGCACATCAAGATGTGCAACTTGGATGCCTGCTCCCTTGGCTAGACGAGGGCCCATTGCTTAGGTCGTGGTGGGTGCATGGAGTTGCTGCATCAGAGATGATGAGGTGTACGGATAGCGTTTCGCAGTCTATAACTATGTCGCTTTCCTTCGCTTGGCTCTGTCCCCGACGGG